GAGGGACAGGCAGCTTGGAGGGTCACACGCAAGGGAGGGACAGGCAGCTTGGAGGGCCACACGCAAGGGAGGGACAGACAGCTTGGAGGGCCACACGAAGGCAGGAACAGGCAGCTTTCCACAGGTAAAGACACCCACTGGCTGCTGTGCTTCTTCCCACAGGACAGGAAACCCACGAGGGGATTACGCCAGGCGTTAGGCAGTTCATTCTGGTCATGCATTCTGGAATCGGGGAAACAGCCACAGGACGGGATTTATTATGATCCAGACCTGAGATAAAATTACTGACTGCTTGCCCTTCAGAAGTCTCTGCTCTGGCTGGCTGAGGAGTGAGTCCAGATTCCCTGAAATTAACGTTACTTCCGAGTCAGTGTCCACCAGTCCCCCCAAATTCTGGTTATTTGTCTCCCCAAAGCACCCTTACCCTTGTACAGGCCACAAGAACTTTAAGGGACAGCTGGGAGAAAGTGACTGCTTGTACTTTCACAGAAGGCCCGGACCCTGCCCGGGTGGTGGCTGGGTGGGATGGGCCTCCCTTTTCTTCCAGGGACTCCCATCTGGGAAGGGACTGAGGAGCCACGATCCTGTCTTCATTTGAGTCAGACTTCCGTTCACTTGGAACGGCGCTTTGTGCTCACACAGGTCCGTAGGAATGTCGTAGCAAGCCTCCTCTTCTCCCGCTTGCAGGAGCAGCAGCACTCCCCAGCCAGCGCCATGGTTTTGGGAGTCTGGACCGAGTCCGATCTGCCTGCGGCGGATGAGTTCCCCAGCCCCGGCCACTCCGGTGACACTGAGGGGTCCCAGTCCCACGGCGGCGCTGCCACTGCGAATTCCAGCCCACGGCCAAGAGGTCGCAGAGCGCTTCGGGACTCCTGGACTCTTCTCACAGATCATTTCTCCCCACGCTGGGGAAGGGTTTCTTTTTCAGACCCTTCCACTGAGTGTCAGTTAGGGCCGAAGCATGACCGCGAACCTTTGAGATACCAAGTGCCCAAACTGTTGTGAAGTCACTGCCTGGCACAGCGACGCCTTTCTGAGCATGCGCATGCCCTCAGTGCGCGCTTTTATCTGACATTTAGCTGCTGGGGCGACCTGACCCCGGGGCGAGCAAAGCCAGATTCGCTAGCACGGGAAGCTGAATAAATTCCACTGCCAACCACTAGAGGGAGACACTGCTTGACGTTATTGCTGAGGGCCTATACTAAAAAAATACAGTAACAAGCCTCAACTCACGGTCGCGACCCTAGACTCAGGCAGAGCGGAGCAAATTGCATATGATAACATGTAAACAAATATCAACATATCATTTTACACCATAAACACAATCGTAAAATTTGAAAATTAATTAAAAATTAATTTTTCCTTCACCCTCCAAGCATTTACAGGTCTGTTACATGGCTGATTGTTTTTAAATATATGGAAAAATTCTTAGATTTCAAAAACTCATCTGCTAGTTCTTTTAATTATTGGTGCATATTAGTTTCACAGAGTGGATTTAGTTTTTGAAATACTGGTACATGCAGGTAACACACTTAATTTTCATCCATTTCTCTTCTCTCTTTGCCTTATCTTTTTGCTTGTCTGTAATAATTGTTCTCCCTCTCTCCTGTCATCTTCTTTTACCTCTAATTTTTTTTTTTTTTTTTTTTTTTTTTTAGGGAAGGGTCTACAGGG